TTCAAGTTGAGATTCCTTGAAATTTACTTGGGATAAGGAAGGCCACTGTGATAACAACAACAAAAATAAGACAATCCAAGTGTAAATAATGTACGAATCAGTTAAAATAATTGATAAAAACATTTCTAAAAATTTCAAATTGTAATCTTCTCTGAACACAAGAGAAAATAAAATTTTATATTTTCTAATAAATAACATTTAGAATATTCCTTTTTAAAGGTTACTTGATTAATCAATATAGCTATTTATTACAAAACAATCCATTAAGCAAAAAATCAGAACTGAATTAAAAATTCCATTGATGAGATCTTAAAAGAATTCTTCAAAGCTAATTTTCTTAAGGGCTATTTTCATCCTAGAAAAAAATCCTTTTTTTTTTAGTCATCACCTTTTCCTGTTGAGACAAACCCTCAAAATCAAGATGTTTGTCATTAAAAGCTGAAAAGTAACTTGGCAGTTAAACTAGAGACCTTAAAAAAAGCCAGTACACATATGCACACCACTAGTTTCAAAATTATACAAGAATACAATCATTTGTACAAACTCGTTTAACTGTTCAAATAGAATGCGATTTCCTATTTTATTTTTAACATTGTACAAGTCTTGTTTCCAGCTTGCTTCATTTTCCTGAAATTATTTTATACTCTGGGGATGCATGGCAATGGCAGTCATCATTAAATAGTTGGGTCAAGTCCAACAGACTTAGAAAAAAAATTAGACAAGGTCATCAAAAAATAATAAACTAGTTAGAGATCAATGAAAAAGGAAAGGGAAAATTATAAATTTAAATTTTTGCTCAGCAAAATCAGCCAATTAGTTTTTTTAATTTTCAATATGTGTTTTATTTTATTTATAAAAAATAAGTTTAAAAAAGGGGGTTATTTTCAATGTAGGCAATAAAATAGATTCTGAATATGAACAATAGAACAATGAATATATTATAAAATATGAACCCAGGAAGTGAAGATAAGCATTCGCTTCTGTTGTATTACAGAAATTTTCAGAAAACAAGAAAAAAAATCTTTAAAAAGTAATTAATAATAATCCTGATTTATTAATTTGTTGTTAGGAGTACTAATAAAAATAAAATCTTGCATCACATTCCTCAGTCAGTAAAACAAATGATAAAAATAAAATTTAGATTTATTTAATAAATAAATCTCGTGTCCCGCCGTTTTCTCAAAAATTATCAAAGGAAAATGCAAACCTATTATTGTATATCACGCGATATATAGATCCTTTAAAATCCATATCAGCTGATCCAAGCCAGACTATTTTTAACATCACAGAGACAAAAAAAATCATAAACAACAAAACACGCTCACAAAATGGCTCAACAACAGAGTACGTTAAAGCACGGTTTTGTTTTTCCGAAAATATCTAAGATATCGAAATTAAACAGTTAAACTAAACACCCTTCCTTTTCTCACTAATAACAACTGAAAGGTTACCAGGACTTTTAAATAAAACAAAAGATTTTTTTTTTTTTTTTTTTTTTTACAATCACCCAATAAAAAAAAAATACACTAACGCTTCTATTCCTATATCAAGGACATTTGAAGAATTTTACCAAAAGTGATTTGTCGATTTTTAAAATTAGCCAATATTAAAAATTAAAAAAATATTTCTTTTCCTAGAAGAATGGGAGACTGTTGTTTATGATGTCATTAGGAGCTGTAAAAATGCTAGTACATTCCATTATTAGTTTCTCGCTTTTAGGTATTCGTGTACACACAACTCTACATCAAAATATTTTAAATCGAATTGCAAAAGAAAAAGATAATGTTATTTTCCTAATATTTCGCATTTAGAGACCTTATCTCATTCATGGCATTTTACTACGTTGTTTGTAAAGTTCAAAAAATATTAAATTCCAACGAAACAAAATTCTTTTAAAAAAGGATATACTCTCTAAAACTAAAACTATTCTGTTTTTGTTAGGAAAGCCAAAATGAAACTAAGAAAGAACTAAAAAAATAAAAAAAAAGGATAACTATTTATTAAAAATAGATTAATTTTATCCAATTGTAATTTTAATTTTGTCTGAGAAAATAGTTTAAGGATTTCGGAAGGTGCTCTTGCTTGATGTATTGTAATGTAAAAAAAAAAAAAAAGTCCGAGAGGAAATGCAATTTTGTTTTTAGAAAATTGTGCTGGAGGTTTTTTTTTTTTTATTTAATTTAAAAAAATATATTTAAAATTTACAAAATTTGAGGGCCTTTTTGTGTTTATTTAAAGATTAAATGGTTATAAAAAAAAAAAAAAAACAGTAATAATTATCATTCTTGGCACGTGTAGTAGTGCTTGACACTAGTTTTAAAATAAATGTCTTTTTATGTCACGAGGTTATTGAACCGAGAGCGTAGGAGAGCAAACATTAAGCGTGCAACACTTTCGGAGTGATAAAGGCCGTTATTTCACACATAAACAGATAGATATTAAATGTGTGCAAATTAACGAGAAGAAAAAAAAAACGTATGAATTATTAAGTATTTAAGAAAGAAATCGGTTACTCATTTCTTTCTGAGCAGCAAAAGAAACAGCGAAATCGTGACGTCACATCAAGCATGTTTGAAGCACATGTTTTTCTGTATTGACAACATGGCTTATCGTTGGCCATCAGTAGCAAGAATCTGTTGAATTACGTCTGAATTTCTTTGATGAAGAATTTTCACTGTTAATTTTGACGAGTTTATCTTTCATCTTATTATTGTTGTTGCTTATTATCGCAACAAATAAAAACTATTATTTATTTCAACGATGAAATTTAAAATTATTATTTAACAACTACACTACAGGAATTCAATATACGGTTCGGGTTACTTATGTAAAAATTTACATATGAAGTAATTTTAGTTACATTTTTAGTTAAATGTTATGGGTGTGCGGATTTACGGCACGGAAAAGAAGAAACAATAAAGCAGAGTTCAAATTCAGACCTAGTCTGTTGCATTCATTTTCATACTAAAATGCCTTTGGCCTTCAGAAAGGCACGTATTCATCATCACTTGGCTCCTGAACCACAGTTATATGATGTGTTAAAAATAGCAGGGTAGACTAGGGTCTCTGGAAGGATCAAATCGATGAGAAAGCGACGAAAAAGCACTCCATTTTTTCCAAGTCATAGAAGAGGAAAAATCTGTGGAGATTCATAATCAAATTTAGCAACAATATTGTATTTATGTCTGACCAACTTTAATGAACAACAATAAAAAAAAAAGTGGTGCCAAATTAAAAAGATTTTGTTTGATAGACAAAAAATATTTTATTAACGGATTATTTTTAATTAAAGCATTAACAGAATGACCTATTGGCAAAATATTTATGAAGTTAAAAGAACCATAGTGTTCAATTTTAGTAAAAAACACTTTGTTGCTCGGTATTTTAAAAAAAAAAAGTTTGTTTTTATGGTTCAGCTGTTTTTCCTTTTTTTTAGTCACAAACTGCATTGTCAAAGAGAAATATCGCTGTCATCACTAAAAATATTAAATGCTATTCTAGCTTTAATTCGATTTTAATAAAATCGGATTAATGTCAAAAGGTCAATTTTTTTATTTCAGTTTCTATATATATATATATTTATAAATTGGAAGGCGTGCATGAAAATGACCAATCACAATTGAGAATATCGGTGTTGTTACAAAACCAGGACGTTGAATAAAAGTGGAAATTCTTTTAAACATGTCGAAAATTCAGTAAAATAAATCCCGAAGATTAAAGTATACATTATCGTATAACGTTCATAGTTCGTCACTCATTCTCTAAGAAATATTTATTTTTTTATTAGTAGTGAAATGAATGTACTACTTTCACTCCAACACCGTGTGTCCTGTACCATAAAGTTTCGGTTTTTCATGTAAAAATAGGAATAGTCTAGCAAAACAGAGAGAATCCGAAATACAAGAAGCTGAATGCAATAATTATTGTGTAAACAAGTCTTTCTATGAATTATCGTAGGATGTCCTAAGTGTAGGATGGCACGATGGGATAGGAACACTGACTAAAATAACAACACAACTGAGGCTCAATTATTAAACGTTTTTCAAACACATAAGGTTTTTTTTTATCTTTTATAATACATCTTAACTGCTGAGAGGTAGTCAACGAAAAAATACATTTCTGAACACATTGAAAGCAGAATTTAAATTACTCAGATGATATCTGTTTTACAAAGAATTATCTTTTTTACCTAAGAGAGTATTTAGTAAGAAGGGCCAAGGGGTAACACAAAAATAAAATAAAAAAAGGAAAGGAATCCGACATTGTGCATGCATACTAAATTTCTACCTTAGTTTTAGTGTAGATTTTTCCCTTTGATTTTTAATAAGATCAATTTATGCATAAACTCATCAAGTCGATAGTCTTCTTTCAATTTCTAATCATTGAAAGCAAAAATATTTGATATGCAAGCAATGGTGTTATTACCCAAACATGTGATAAATAAAAACAAAACAGTGTAAGAGACGAGGAATTTCTTCTAAACAACAAGCATAGCGACACTAATTATAAAGGTATTTCTCACGTCTGACCGACTTTAATGAATGAGTTTTAAATAAAAAAAGTGAGGTTAAATTTAAACAGAGTTACTATTTTTTTCTGTTCTGTGTGATTTACTTGTCAATTACAATCTATGAATAAAAATAAACATTGTGAGCATTTATTTTATCTAAATAAACGTTAACATCATTTATTTATTTTTAGTAAGAAATCAACGCAACTTTTGAAAAATATACCTACATCAGTAAAAACAAAAAAAACTGTTACATGTAAATTCTAAACAAATAGGTTTAAAAAAACCACATTCCCGTGAAGATGATGTGCGAAGCTTCTTTGATAAATAAGCAATTACTAGAGATAAATTTAAAAAAAAAAATAAACATAAGTATTTTTCATCATTAATTGCCGTATTTTTTTTTTTAAATTTTATTTTAATGGTGGTTTTCAGCTTTAAGAGAGAGGGAGTGAGGTGAACACTAGAGAAGGAAAAAACGAAATTAAGAATGTCAACCGCAGACAAAAGAAAAAAGCCGTCAAACCTGCCAAATATACAGCCATATGGTGTCCAGTGAATGCCAGAGGTAAAGGCAGCTGTCTCCGGCCTGAATGTCCGAAAGGGAAGGGAACAAAAAAAAAAACGATAACAACAAGAGCTTCTCAGGAAGAAGAACAAGAAGACATGCCAAGTTGCTGTTTACTTCCGGGTGATGCCAAAAACCGGCGCACAAGTCACATTAACATTCAGCAGATTCACGAATAACGGAATTCAAGAATAAAGCGTTCATTTTATTAATCCAATTCTTGATAGTGTCATTTTTGTTTTTAAATCCCTATCAATTCGACATTTACCGTTTTATTATTATTTATTTAATCAAGTTAAAAATCGTTTTATTAAACCAAATTATGGGTTTGAATGCAAATTATTTGAAGCTAATTTCAAAAAGAATTTAAATGATTCACAATTTTAATCAAATTCGTATTGAAAAGCCTTGCAACCGATTGACAAAAAAAACTTCAGTGAAAAAATTATTTTTAGTAAAAAAAACAATCAGCTATTTTTTATTACAACAATGAAATTGCTTTTTGCAATGAACTGAAGTTTAATAATGTAATTGTTTTATAAAGTATACGAGTGTATTAAATTATCTATTTGCGTTTATAAAAATAAAGTTCTGCAAATGTACCCATTATTTGTCAAATACACATCCACTCCACCACATATTTTGTTTATTGTTGCGGTAATCACTTCCAAAAAGAAAGTAGTTTTTCAGCCAGATTAAAGAAAATAATTTTTTTTCTTTGCTGAAGAAAACTTCGCAGATGGAATCACTTTATCTAAATTCTTTTTATTGTCAATAAGTTTTTTATTTTAACTTTGAAATATTAAAAAAAAAATCCTCTTAATTTGTCGGGAAATTGTCACATGATTTTAAAAATTATCGGGAATACTTTTTTTAGTTTGTTTATTTATCATTTTCATTAAAAAAATTTGAAAGGTCAAGTCAAACACAAACAAATCCCAGGCCAAGCAATGTAGGCTAACTTTTTTTTGCCATTTCCTCAAAAATTAGAAAGTAAAAAAAAAAGTTTATTTACTAGACAAAATGTATTTTTACAAATTCTAAGTATATTCCTTGTTATTCGCACTATTTTCTTCATCTTTGTCGTTTTTAAATACGTTTCGACTGATACCTTCTTCAGCTTTCATATTTAGCTTGTAAAAAAGACAACGTATTCTATGCACTTTAGAAAAACCGAAGAAAATAAAAACAAAAAGTCGTTAAAGCAATCAAACAAAATGTAGGCAACAGTCAGAATAATATGAGAAGTTCAATGTAAAATTGTAAAGCAAATTTTCGGTTTGGGGGCGGGAGATGAAAATATGAAGGGACGCAACTCAGAATTACTAATAAATTAAACAGTATCATCATGATGATGATGATGATGATGATGATAATCATCAACACTGCTATTGATCAAGATTTGCTCCAACCTTGAATTTTTGATAATGTAGTTCTGTTTCCGTATTTTCAAAAAGTCTTTAAATAAGTGACAGCATCAATAAAAGTATTTTTATTTACTTCCAACACAAAAAATATCGACTTTTTATCTTTTATGCAAGCGAAGCGTAAGTTTTACATTCTCTAGAATAATCGGAATTTCAGATTATCGCGTTCGTTTATTAAATTAAAATCCGAGAAGATTCCCAGAACGCTTCCATTACGACACATTAATGGTAAATATTATCGATAAGACTTAACTATATATGATATTATTACTAGTTCTTAATGATTAAGAGGGTTTCAAAAATGGATTTTAGACGTCAATGATACAAAAATATTTGCAAAATGATAAATGTTGTTGTTTACGACAATATAGTCGAGATCGGTTTTTGGTAGTGTGACCATGGCGCCAAGTAGGAAATTTAAATTATTATTGTGCCTGTTTTCCTAAATTAAGTTATAATATTACAGAAAAAGGTTAGTTTCATGAGTCCTTTTTATTTTCTCTGTTTCTCCACTATTAACAAGATGAGCAAAGTGTTTTTTTTTAAATTCAAGTGAATACGTTTAAAAAAAATATCTTTAAAATCGTTTTTTATAAGTTTTGGTAAAGTTAAAGTAATTTTTTAATTTAAAACAAAATATTTCACAGAACCAATCTACGATTAATTTATTTATCACTTTGCATTAAAATAAATGCACAAATACTAACGTTTGTTTAATTTAAATTACTCTGGTTGAAGTGACATCTTTCGACCGAAGTCCTTTTTTTTCCACCTTAATTCTAAAGTCACTTTGTTTTCTGCAAAATACAGTTTTACTTTTAAATTAAAAGTTTTAAATCAAACAAATTAGTTTTTTTTATTATTTCAGACTGTTAATTATAGTAATAAATCTTAATGATTTTAATTGTAAGGCAACAATAAGATGAAGAAATGAATGAAAAATGTATCAGATTCTGATAAAAAGTAGTTAAAAAAAAAAAGCTTTTTTAATCATCTCAGTTGAGTTGAGTCTCCAAAATTCTTTTGTTCAATTTTGGTGATTTTTTATATGTGTGTGTGTTTTTTGTTTTTTTTTAGGCAAAAATAAACTTAAAGTATTTTTGTATGCAAATGAAAACGAAAAAAAATGTTTACATATCTATTGTAGATTTTGAGCCCAATTAATTGAAATTTTATCTAATTTTTAGTAAGAACATAAGAATGATGTGGAAATGAAGTTGAATTTTCTAAAATAAAAACTTTGGTGGGTATTTTTTAACATCTGAAGCAATATTTCTGCTTATCAAACACTGAATTACTCTAAAGAAAAGAAAATGCTACTTTCTTCTCTTTTTGTTCCAAATACAAGGGCTATCTGAAATAGTCATCATAGTGGTGAGGAATTTTTCTACTTAAGCGTGCATGTTCGAATTTATGTTCTGCCGGGAGTGTCTACTCATAAAAATGATTTGTTAGGAAATAATGTTTTAGTTTTTAAATTAACTTCTTTAAGCCACAACACTTGCCAGAATCGAAAAATATTCTTTTTTTTCTTTTTTTTTTGTCATTTTAGAAGATGAGTCAGTGTTTTTCGTTTTTAATATTGATGCAGTTCTGTTAATGTAAAATCGATCGCTGAATTTTTGCAGTTATATCGGAAGTTAAGTTTGTTTGAAACTGTTGAGCTTTATGTCATTGAGATCTGCATACGAAAACAGACTTTTTTTATTCCACAATTAAAATTGTTTAGTTTACAAAAACATTTTTTTTGTTATTAAAAAACAAACAGATACTATACATTTTTTTAAATTAAAGAATTTACGGATATATAATTCATATATACGTATTGTAAACAGACAATTATTTGTTGACGTAAAATAAAAACACATTTTCAATTTGTAAATAAAAGTCAAGTCCAGATAACTCAGTAAAAGTCAGGGATCAATTTGACACTCGATATTATGAACAGTACCCCATCTTCTAAATTAACAAAAAGTGAAAAAAACCAATATTTTTTTTTTATTCTGACAAATGTGGTTTGAGGAAGATCTACTAATGTGCTAATCTAAACAATAAAAATTGCCCCCCCCCTTTTTGGGGGGGGGTCCTTTTTCAAGTGCACCAGTTTAAGTAGTGTCAGTTTTTTTTCATAAACGTAGGATTTTTCCCCCCTCAGGATGTAGATGATCATAGCTCTATGCAGCTTCCCTTTTTAAATACTGCCTTGACTGATTTTTGTGGAAGATCCCATACCTTACGCGAGCACACGCACACACACACATATATCTATATAATACAACAATAAAATTTATCAGCATAATATATCTAATATTTTTCAACTCGGGCACTTTTTTTAAAAAAAGAGTGTTACCTAAGGAGCATACAAGTAGTGTAGAGGTTATGGGTGTGGTGAGTTGAATTGGTGAACCAAGTTCAAATTCCAGTCTAGTCTGTTGTGTTCAATTTTACACAGCCAGTTCAGGAAAAGGAAAACCACCTACTATCTTTCCCAAGTAGACCTGGCAATTCAAAGATAATAAAAGAAAAGGAATCTGTGGAGAGCTATGATTTCCTATATCCTTAGATGACAATACACTAAAAGAAGAAAAATACAAATCAAGCATTTAGCAAAATTTTCTTATACAGTGTAACCCGGATATGAGAGAGATTTTCTCTGGTCCCAAATTAGAGCCTGTGTGAATGTATATAAAATAGACCAAACCCGGATATAAGAGACTTCTCTGGTCCCGACAACTCTCTTATATCCGGGTTACACTGTATAAAATTCAGATATTTGAACAGATTCCAATAAAGTTCCTTTGATAGAATGAAAATACAACTGTTAGTCCAGTCAAGTTATGACAAAATTCAAAGTTATGAACAATATCTATAACTCCTATTGTCATTACAAAATTTTTGTGTTGTCAATGGTACATTGAATTTGTTCAGTAAATGTGTAACTAAAGATGTATGCAGTGAATACAGAACAAAAACAAGTCTTCAAATATAGCTAGTGAAAGTATCTCCTTTAAAAAAGCATCTTGAAAAAGTCAACTTGTCTCATTGACAAAGTAGATAAAGTGGAGTGATTAAGTCACTGATTGTTTTTATAGTTATCAAATAGAGCAAGTAGTAAACACATTTAGTACAACTTTTTAATCAGCTAGATAGATCTTTAATAGGTTGCATAAATTAATAACCTGCATGCTTGAAATTTGCCATTAACTTGTTACTTCTCATCAATATAGTTATTTTCCAAGAGTAGCTTAGATGTGGCACAAGGCTGAAAGTATGGGGCACCCAGTGGGGATCAAACTCACTAAGCTTGCTAACCATTACACCACCTCGAGGTGCCCATACTTCTCATCAATATAAGAATTTAAAAGTTCTTGATTTAATAGTTAAAAAGTTATTCATAAATAATGTACCAAAATTGTGATTAAAAATATGAGTTACAAAATTTCCTGTTGGGCTTAGAATATGAAGCTATTTAAACTTTCTTTTGAACTGAAAAATAATCATAAATCAAACCAAAAATGTCAAATAATTTTCCATAAGTAAAAACGAAAATATAATTTAATCTGCACAGTTTCATAGAAGCAGAAAAAAAACAACCTTTTTTTTTTTTCACTTTTGGGAATATTTTCCCTCCATATATTTCTGATACAAATACAAAGAATTATGAGGTTAGTTAAAGAAATAGAATAGAAGTAATTCATTATTTGGTTGGTATGCAAATATTGTTTGAAGCAGTAAAATCAATAATACCGTTATTGATTTTTACATTCAAAACAACTCTTGCTTTCAAAATAGTGAATTTACTCTCCTTATTTTTTTACCTAGCCTCATATTCTGATAATGTATTTTTAAGCATCCGGTTTAATGTAATGAAGGAATGAAACCAAAGTGACACTAGCTAAGAATTATTCACATCTTGTATAAAGGATTTGGAAGGAAAATGTTTCTGGAAACCTAAACAAGGATATTTATTTTTGTTTTACAAATTCTAAATTTTATTGGTCACAAATATTGAATTACATTTCATTTCTTATTTATAAAAAAAAAAAAAAAAAAAAGTGGGGAGGGGTCAGAATATAAGGCTATATGTAAAGAAACTCAAGGAGGTAATTTAATATATGAAAAACAATTTGTTTTGGATGTAAATATTGATGATACCTAAAATTACATACTAAAAAAAAGCTTTTCAAAAACTAAATGTTGAAAAATATATCTGATGATGTAAGTGTTTGTTATGTTTACTGTTTAATATTTTTTGTTAAGTCTCATTGATTTGCATTTTTCAGATACATATAGGGTATTGACAATGTCTCTCCATCAGAAACCACCCCCTTCTCCCCAATGTAAAAAAAAGGCTAGTTCTACATAAAGATTAAGAAACATCAGTATGTGCCAGTAACTGTTTTATGACATTTCTAGATGAAGAGGGAAATAAGGTGATTATCTCATCAAAAGTAAGACATGATACTTTTCAAGTGTGCATGTCAGTCACTGAGTCAGGGCATCATTTTTGCACATACTGGTGTATTAGATTGAGTAAGCATCCATAAAGATGAAATATTAATATGGTGATATCTGCTTTAATTTTTTTTTTTTTTTTTCCTCTTTACTGATTTCAGAAAACTAAGATGATTTTTGTCACATTTTCTTTATAAATGCTTGTCTTTTGGTTGGAATTCCTGCTTGAAGACTTCTCATTTCATCAAATCAACTGCAAAGATGAACCCCCCCACCCCAAATTAAATGTTATCACTCTTTTTAAATATAGACAAAAATAAATAAATTTCATCTAAAATTTGCAAAACAGTTCATAATGTTCAGCATAAATGTCAAAAAGAAAAGAATTAACAATTCTTTGGAGTTTTAAGGTATAATTCTTTGGGTGTTTCTGGTGATTTTGTTTGAACTCCAGATTAGTGATAAATTCTTCTTGTTGCTAAAATAGAATGTTCAAAGGAAGGAAGGAAACAGAGACACTGGAAATAGATTTAGGAACTTTATTACAAGGTAGCAACAGTCTGTTGAAGGGAAGTGCCTTTCCAAGCAAAAAGACGTGTTTACCCATTGAGAGTTCAGAGGAAAAGAGGAGCAGTTCTTCTCATTTGTCTTTGGTGCCAGGAAGCCCCTCTTTATTCATGCATGCGCCATTAATTCTTCCGCATGCCATTTATCTTTTCTTTTTTTTTTCTTTTATCAATTATACAATCCCCACAATTCTCTAACAAAGCACATATTGCTATAAACTTGATCTCAATAAAATTTCCACTTTTCTTAATGAAGAGGAACTTCAAAATCAATTTTTGAAATAAGCTACACATTAACCATTATTCAATTTTAATTAGGATTTTTTCATCTCATGCAGTAAGAAATACTTGTTAAAAATTATTAACCTTTAGCACACTGCATTACTTCCCTTTCCACTGCATTTTTTTTTCAAAGCCTCTCAATTGCAATGACCTTATTGTTAATTTCACT